CAAAATTAAAGATATTCGTATTCCACCTAAATCTATGTTGTTATCTTTAGACGTTGATAGTCTTTTCACAAATGTCCCATGCCCTGACTGTTTGCATATACTCTCAGATCTCTTTGAAAAACGTCGTCTACATCCCGGGGAAACAAATGATCTTCTTAACTTAACCTCTCTCTGTATGAAACAAAATTATTTCCGGTTTAATAACCGTTTCTATCTACAAAAAGAAGGGTTGGCTATGGGGTCCCCTAAGTCCACTTATGGCGGACATTTTCATGGATAATTTGGAAAAACAACATATGGTTGTTAACCAAAATATCTTATACTATTATCGATATGTAGACGACATAATTATTTGCTGGACTGGCACAAGGAGACAACTGGATGTTTTCCTTAATAAAATAAAAAGAGTCCACGGAAAAATTAAATTTAAGCTTGAATTGGAACAAGATTGCTCCCTTAATTTTCTTGATTTAACAATAACAAGAAAAGAGTCGTTGCATGTTTTTCAAATTTATCGAAAGCCGACTCATACCGACACGGTCATCCCCGCGTCATCGTGTCATCCATGGCAACATAAATTAGCCGCTTTTTATTGTTAGATTAACCGTCTGTTCACTGTTCCATTAAGTAAAGAAAATTATTTAAAAGAACTTAAAATAATTTATCAAATTGCAGTCTCTAACGGTTTTTCAAAAAGTCTCATTAATAATCTTATTAAAAAGAAACAAAAGCATGTTGTTCGCAATTCTTTGTACGCGGTTCGATCTCCAAAGTGTCCGGCGATATGTGGGTAGTTTGACCTACTTAGGCTCCATATCGGAAAAAATAGCTAATACTCTTAAGAAAAACGGCGTTAACGTGGCATTCAAAACAAACAAATCGCTTAGGAATATTTGTAATAATAAAGATAAGTTAAATATTAGTCAAAAATCGGGTGTTTATAAACTTGTTTGTGACGAATGCCACGCCGTTTACGTGGGTCAGACTGGTCGTAATTTCGGGACGCGCTGTAAAGAGTATTTGGCCGCATACTGAAACTGTGTGATAAAAAAAGAGTGTGGTTAGCAAGATGATGCGGTAACCAGGATTAAGAAAGGAATGCTTCGGTGGTTTGGTCATGTAGAAAGAATGAATGCGGAAAGACTGACAAAGCAAATATATGTTGCAGAAGTGAATGGAAGAGTCGGAAAGGGACGTCTTAGGCGGAATTTTGTCGACCAAATTGGCGATATACTAAAAATGGGCCAAATTAAGAGTACCCTTAACCGACGAGCATGTATGCGTAGGTATATGGATGTGGAAGAGGCGAGAGAGGTATGTCAGGATCGTGCTAAATGGAAGTCTGTAGTCTCTGCCTACCCCTCTGGGTGACAGGCGTGAGTGTTTATGTATTATTTATGTATTATGAAATTGCAATTCCGATAAATCCCATTTTGCTAAACATCTCTTAGACACTGGACACAACCTAGCTAGCGACCATTCCTTTGAAGTCTTACATACTTGTAATAAGGGGCTGCGACTGTGTGTGCTGGAGCAGTTGGAGATTTTAAAAAGTAATAATGGTAATTATGCACTGCTGAATGAACAAACAAATGTTTCTAATTCACCTTTGTTAAACATCTTTAAGGCTAATCCTTAATAATAATTTTAAGATTAATAATAATAAATAAATAACTATAATAATATCAATAAAACAATAATAATAATAGTATTTAAAAATATTAATCATAACAATAATGATAATTAGTAGCAGGTTTGTTATCGCACAGCGCGGTCACTCGCTACTTTGGTGAGGGGCGATTGTATCGGCGTGTATAAATAGCAGCTGTTTCGGCTCGCCGCTCGCCCCTCCAGCCATCGCCCCATTAGCCTCCTCAAGGCAATGGGCAAGCTATTCGAAAGAGTCATCCAAACGCGTATGAGGCGCTATCTGTTTCCCACAGACGGCGACCCTCTTATCATTCCACATCAATTCGGTTTCCGAGCCAAACACTCATGTACCCAACAAGTTCACCGCATTGTGGAATATATCCTCAGCGGTTTCTATCCTCGTCGTCATAAGACCATCGCGGTCTTTTTCGACATAGCCAAAGCTTTCGATAGGGTCTGGCATACAGGCCTTATCTACAAACTATACAAAATAGGTCTCCCCGAACGCCTAGTACGTCTCGTGGCCTCTTACCTAGAGGATCGTACCTTTCGTTTTAGACACGAAGGCACGCTATCCTCACAACGAACTATCAAGGCTGGTGTCCCACAGGGCTCAGTACTTGCTCCTCTGCTGTACATCCTGTTCACCAACGACATTCCCATCCCGTCGAAAGGTGTTCAGCTCTCCCTCTTCGCAGACGACACTGCTATATACTGCAAAGGCGTCTCACTGCCCTTCATACGGAACAAGATCCAAAAGTCAGTTGATGACCTAGGAGCTTGGTTCAAAAAATGGCGCATCGATGTGAACCCGGAAAGGAGCTCCGCCGTTCACTTCGATTATAAACGACGCCGTCTCAAAAACACTCCACCAATACGTATGCTAGGGACCCCTGTCCCTTGGCATACGTCCGCCAAATACTTAGGTGTCACTCTAGACACAGGGCTTACTTTCAGGCCCCACGTCAAAAGAGTAACCCGTCACGCACGGTTTTATCTGAGTAGGCTCAACAGTATGTTGGGCCGACACAGTAAAATGTCCTTTTCGAAATAAGCGTACCCTTTACAAGGTCTGTATACGACCAGTCATGTCCTACGCGGGCCCCGTCTTTGCCCACGCAAACCCTAACATTATAAATGAACTCCAAATAGTTCAGAACCTCTTCTGCCGTCGAGCTGCGAACGCACCTTGGTACGTCCGTAATGCCGACCTTCATCGGAACTTAGAGCTCCCAACAATTCAACAATTCCTTAAAAAACTCTCTGAGAACTTCTTCAAAGCCTCAAAGTCGCACCCAAACCAATTAATTCGTGAGGCAGCTTCTTATACAGCCCCACCCCCCTCTCGCTATCGTGTCCGCAGGCCGAGAAACTCTCTCTCGGACCCGCTTAATAAACTGTCAAACGACCTGAACTGTCTCCTGGCGGCTCAGGCCAACTCTAATTAAATTAATTATTGTACTAACTAACATTAATTTGCCTTCGTAGGCACTCCCTCAGCGGCTCTTAGCCGCCTGCGCCCTCTTTTCCCAAAAGAGGGTCGCTCATGATAAGGCACAATACAGATTAATCAGCCGGTTGCCTGTCCCCAAAGGCGGTTTTTAGAGGGTATCACTTAGGGTCCCCGGTAGGACAGTGAGCCCCTCATAACCACGATAGACCGGCTATCGTGGTATGCGTAATGCATTTTCCGCCTCCCTACGTATAGGGTAGCCCTTTAATTGCTTCGGGCGCAAAAAAAAACTCGCCGCTCGCCACCTGCGCCCTCCTTTCTGCCAAGGAGGGTCGCGTTCGTATACGGCTTAGAGATCTCTAGACAGATCGTTAAGCCAATTCCTAAAAGGTTGGGTTTAGTGGGTAAAAGTCACCACATAACCACGCAGCCGGCTGCGTGGTATACTATGAGCATTCCCAACCTCCCTCCCCCGCTTTCCGGAGGATTGCCCATATTTGCTTCGGGCAAAAAAAAAAAAGCTCGCCGCTCACTTAGCGGTCAGCTGCCGTAGAGTCTACATTACCTGAAGATGCCTCGTGTAAGGCGAAACACGTGTCGTATTATCGTCGATGGTGTGTCTTACCTGCAATAGTGGTGCTGGGACTAGTGGTGACGGAGTTAGTGCATGCAATTGAGTAAGGGCGGGAGGTGCTCCTCAATCCAGGTAAGACACATCATTGTATTTATTTAGCGGAAGGTTGCAAAGAAATTCATATTTTTATTTTTTGTTATAATAGATTTCCGCAAAGTAACTCCTGATTCTATCAATTATGCTCTATTTCTACAGTTGAATGTTATGCAATCTACTTAGCTATATTATACATACAAAACGTTGCAAATTCACAGTTTCTAATTGTAACTGATTCAAAAAGTGTTATACTATTGAAACTAACAAAATGGATAACAAGAAAAATTACGTTATATACAATATAAGAAACTTCCTAAACAAGCTTAATAAAGTAAAGAAGAATTCACACTCTGGGATAACTGGGAACGAGGAAGCAGACGTTGCTACTAGAGATGTCTCCTCATCATCGTGTTCAGGTCACTCTTCAATGCTGGAAATATCATTTACAGATATATATGCCTTGTTTAGCAAGAACTTGAAATCCTTGTGGAAGTCATACTGGGAAAAAATAAGGGAATTTGGTACCTATTATGAAATACAAAAAAAACCCGCCAGCCACTCCTTGGTACAATAAAAAGGGATTAATAATAGAAAATTCATTACGGCTGTAAACCGAATGAGATTTGGACATAGCAGAGTAGCCACCCACCTTCATCGTCTGGGAATGAAAGAAAATGCAAATTGTGAATATTGTGGTGACATGAATGGAGACCTAAAACATCTGGTTTTTCAATGTTGTCAATTTGGTTTGAATAGATTACTCCTCATTAATTCCATTCAAGATATTAACAATGATAAAGTTCCTGATATTCCTCAAAGTCTATTAGCTGATAAAAAATTCTTCCGACCATTATATTCCCTTTTTTCGGGAGTTCAAGATATATAAAAATAAAAACATGATATTAATCAATAGTGCAAACGTGAATAAGTACTTTGTAATTTGTGAATCAGTGTAAAAGCGAATTTTCGATTTTTTGATTAATGTTTCGTACGTGACATATCTAATTTTTAAAGATAAATAATATAAAAAATAAATATATATTGTAACTTCAGGCTCAGAAGGACTAGAGCCCAGAGCCGTAAAGCCGTAAAACAAATTCCTTCAGAATCTATTATTTAATCTGTGACAAATTCCGCTTATTTTCGCGATATCTTTGAATCTGATTTTGATTAATAGGTATTTACATACTCGTAAGAAGACGTGATTAAATATGGTTTCGTGTGCAGTGCCTGGATGTAACTCATGTAAAAGAGAAAATCCACATAATTATACGTTTCACACGTAAGTACAAATAATTTATTTAGCAGTATAATATTTTTGAACTGGTACATTAGTGCACAAATGGATTGAAAAAAATATTATATTATGTATGTGTATTATTATGAATTATTTTAAAATAATAACAAATACATGAATTCCTATTTCTAAACCCACTTTTATTGAGAATCTCTTACAAGATTAGATTGACTGATTGACATCAACTGACAGTTGACCATTAATATTATAATAACGATATTGTCCTCATCTGGCAAAGGTATGTCTTGCATGCAGCCTTTTGGAACTATGTAATATTTTATAATTTCTGTTTTTAAATTTTAAGGATTCAAAGCCAAATGGGATTATTGTTAATATTTCAACGAGATAATTTAAACTCTTATAATGTTTCAGATTCCCAAAAAATATTGAAGTTCAACAAAAATGGCTGAAAATGATAAATAGAGAAAAATGGTTTCCCAAAAAATATTCAACTATATGCAGCAAGCATTTTGAAGAAAAGTGTTTTTCTCATAGAGTTGCAAGACGAGTAAAGCTACGTTCTGGTTCAATACCCACGTTATTTATGCCCGTACGTTATTTCTTAATTATCTATCATACAGTACATAAGTTCATTTCGTTTACGCATGTTGTAATGTATACTACTCTCTGTCAGTATAATGCAACTTTTTGCCTTCATTCTCGTGGTTCATTTTTTTGTAAACGGTGGTAAGAAGGGAACTTAACGTACCACTTGATAGTTAATGGCTACTGAGGTCAATGGTCACCTACCCACAGTGAGCCCCCAACAAAAAAGCTACAAATGCGTTTCCCCCTCTCAAGTCTAAGATAAAATGCCTGACAGTCACAGCCTATAATAATTATACTGGCTTTCTATACTCGCTAAGCCGGAACGTGCCAGTGTATGCACTGCTATGTAGCGGCAAAAGTAGGTAAAAGAATGGTAGTTATTTTCTTTTTTTTTTTTCATTTTAATCATATGCATAATATGGACACTAATGATATTTGTTTGTAGGTTGTATTGAAGCCGATACGCAAAGCATCGTCATATGTCTACAGAGATATATCCCCAGTGCCCAGTGGCTCTACTGCGAACGTTTTTGTTCTAGTCGAATCCACGAAAATTAAAAAAATGAAGACTACTATTGATATTCTTCGGAGACGCTTAGATATAACACAGAAAAGACTGAAAAATGTAAAAGCACAAAATAACCGGGCTAATGAAAAAGTGATAAAACTGTCTCAAGAGATAAATAACTTAAAAAGACTTTCCTCATTTCAAAACCTTATTAGCAATGTTACTTACATTAAATCTGAACCAACAGAAGCTGAGAGTAATTATTAGCATAGGGGAAAACTTAAAACATAAAGAGTTTAACTACAAAAAATTGGTTTTTATTTTAAATAGTACAATATAAGTTATATTATAGTTATATTAGCAGAATCGCTGGAGGACTTAAGCATTATGCTCAATGACCTCAATAGTGCCTCCCAACGGATAGGTCTTAAGATGAACATGGACAAAACAAAGATCATGTTTAATGTCCATGTCACACCTATGCCGGTAGTTGTTGGGAGCACTATGCTCGAAGTTGTTGACGAGTACGTTTACCTGGGACAAATAGTCCGACTAGGTAAGTCCAACTTCGACCGAGAGGTCAATCGACGGATTCAACTCGGCTGGGCAGCGTTCGGGAAATTACGACATATCTTTTCGTCAGGTATACCTCAATCTCTAAAAACTAGATTGTACAACCAGTGCGTGTTGCCAGTGATGACTTACGGATCTGAGACGTGGTCCTTCACTGCTGGCCGTATGAGGACGCTTAAGGTCGCTCAGCGAGCTATGGAGAGGGCTATGCTTGGAGTTTCTCTGCGTGATAGACTCAGAAATGAGGATATCCGCAGTAAAACCAGAGTGATCGACATAGCCCAACGGATTAGTAAGCTGAAGTGGCAATGGGCCGGCCATATAGCTCGAAGAACCGATAACCGATGGGGAAGAGAGGTTCTCGAGTGGCAGCCTCGTACCGGTAGGCGTAGTGTAGGGCGACCCCCCACTAGATGGAGTGACGACCTGGTAAGACATGCAGGAAGTCGATGGATGCAGGTGGCTCAGGACCGTGCTTTGTGGCATTACTTGGGGGAGGCCTATGTTCAGCAGTGGACTTGTGAAGGGCTGTAATGATGATGATGATGAAGTTATATTATTCTTACCTTTCTTTTACAAGGTTGTTGCCTTTATATTCCATAGATACCTCAATTGATGTATGTACCATTTGCGAAACAAAAAACTTCTATAAATTAATTTGGTCAATGACTATAACATAGACTATGACTATAACAGTGATAGAGCCAGCTTTTGCTGTTGCACGTATGGACTAGCTCAAACCGGGGTAGTACCACGACCTCACAGAAGAGCAAGCATGCAAGATGAAGCTCTGCTTCTGCATTTCATCTGGTGACGGTGGCCGTAGGCCCATTTCGCCCCCCACCCCCTTTAACATGGTAGTTGAGTTAAATAGAACAGTACCCCAGGATGTCGGAGAATCCCTCGCTGAGCATCCATGCCCAAGCCACCCTACTCATCCTGAACGTGAGTGTTCTGCCTCACGTTTTCTGGGGGGGGAGTGAAATTTGGCTCGAGACTAAACCGATCGGAGCAAACGGAGCAATAAAACAAATTCGCCACCTGCCTCGCTATCCGTGAATTACTGCAACATCAGGGGACTTCCTTCAACTCTTAACGCCATCCATTATTATCTGGAAACGACGAAGCCAGCCTTGCTCTTTCTGACCGAGACACAAGTGTCCTCTCCGGCTGATACTTCGTATCTTACCTACCCGGGGTATAAATTAGCCTACGGACCTGTCCATCCTATGGCTGTGCGTCACTGACCTCTATAATATGTGGACTGGCTATACACCGTGAGATAATGAGGCGATTTGATTTTTGCCATTTTGGCGCTGAAAACAGAAGTGAACGTACACGGAACTAATAATAGAGAAAAGACAGTGTGACAAAATATATCGATAAAAATTCTATACCGAGGCCTACCCGTAACGTCCATTCTATTTACGTAGCATTTTATTATAGTGCCATCGAATAAATAAATAAATATATAAATTAATACCTATAGTCTTTGCGTTGTAGCATGGTGCGAATGACAGCTCACGCCTATGAAGTTTCGTATTTTTTTATATAAACTGTCATACAGATATTGTATCAAAACCAGTTTAAAAAAAACAGTTTTAAAAATAATTGTAGACGTCACTTACTAAGCGAACAATTACTGTCATAATCGAATTATTTTTACTATGGTACATAAAAGATAGCTTGATCTCTGCGACAGCTGTCAGTAAAAATCACGCCTATGAAGTCCTGAAATTTTTAGTAGTACAGACAGTACCTGTCAATGTCATACTTTATGGGCATGCACTAATTAGGTCGGCATGCCCATAAAGTATGACATTGACAGGTACTGTCTGTACTACTAACGTAGACAGAGAAACCTATAGACTAATGATTAGCGTGGCCTCGAGTGAGAAAGGACGATAACGTAGTTTTAGGTTATACAATAATCTTTATGACTTTTAAACATATTTAGATAAAAAATTTAATTGTTCTAAGAACTGAACAGAACATGATTCACCAATCTTAGCTCACAAAACACTTTTTTTCTCACTTAATCCAACTTGTAAACTCCATAGATCGCTACGAACTGTCAAAGTTGTTTAGCAAAGTGCAGTTTGCTAAACAAAAAAAACCGGCACGGAGAAAGGGACAAACAATCACACCGCTCTGTCTCATTTCTATGCAAGACGTGTGCATAAATCTATCTTTTTCGTGTACGAATGCGAAAGAAGGCGTCAATTTGTCTATAGTGTTCTCTGTCTACGAATACTAAGAACTTCAGGACTTCATAGGCGTGATTTTACTGACAGCTGTCTCAGAGATCAAGCTATCTTTTATGAACTATAAATTACAGTGCCGTTTCTAGACTTACAAGCTCAAATAAGTTAGGCTCAGTAAAATAAATATTATTTAATACTTTGTTGTTACTATTAGTTGCATTGTTGCAATATCATAAATTTTATGGAAAAAATTTATGATAATTAAAAATATTTCTTAATTACTAATTTGAACTGGCTAATACTCGCTAATACTTGGGAAACCACGAAATGTACTCTAATATGAACAGTTGTGATTAAATGTAAGCAGGGATGCGCGCGTACTCTTCATTTGTTGGGCGCTGGCAGAATAACAGCGTTGTAGGCAACTGCAACATTTATGCTGAACTAGAGCCCATTCATTACTACACTATGTAATGGAGAAGATAAAAAGGTTACAATATTAAACTTTTAAGTACGTAGGTAAAATGTCTAGAACAAACACATAATTTCACACACAGTTATTTCACATCGATCGGTGCACTATTACCGAAGTTATAAGCGTGGAAAGTTTACGTACATTTTTAAAATCTCGCCCGTGCCCGCGTGTAGCGCGTGACGTCATCGATTCCATGCGGCCGCACCGCCATACCGTTCCAGCGCGCCGATCATACGTTTGTAATCATTGAGTTTAATATATAAATCAATGTTTGTAGTAATATTTCGCGGGTGAGTTGTTTGCCCTAGTGCGCTCTGGTGTTTTTAAGTATTTAATGATGGAAGAAAGGTTTCAAAAGGTCAATCTGACAACCTTCCAATAGTCCGTGACATGATGGTGGCGGAATATTTTCTAAGAAACAAAGATTTTGTCGCGGCTGAAATACGCATAAGAATAAGATAATATTTTATAACCTAGGTACCCATTATTACATTAATACTTCTGGGTTTCATTTGCTAATGATAAGAATAAGTCTAACAAAAATACGTAAACATCCCTTACCTATCTACTTACTATCTGCCTCTAACTAGTTTTGTTTTCTTATTCTTCATAAGTGTACCCTGACCTTTTTGTGGTTTTTATGGTTAAAAAAAATCCTGTTGTATATAAAGAAATTTACTACAAATATACCTTCGGTGTATAAAAATAAGATTTTATCTAAAAATCAAAGGGTCGCATTATTATTATGATTAAAAGCGTAGTTATATATTCTTCAGGCAAGGGATCAATGTCAATATTATCATCTAGATTAGTAACAGGATCGACAACATATCTATGCTCTATTTCTTGTGAAGTAGTGGCAATCGCATGTGCAACTGTTTCTGACCTAAATTTGGAATTTAGTTTTGATAGTAAAAATCTTTGTGGTTTTTCTGTATACCGATTTTGACAAGCAAACTTGTGAGGCAAAACATCTTTTTTAAGTTTGAGAGGACCACCAACTAGTTTGTACTTCACGTAGTTTTCCATATCGTTTTCTACCTAGAACAAAATACAAACTTATTTAAAATCTATAAAAAAATAAGGAACCTCGTAATTTGT